GAGAGAGCACGCGGTAGTACAAGGGAATAAGACGGAAATAAGATACGACACAGCTGATACGCCTTCGCCCACCGATTACGCGCTAGGTGTATGTCGAAGATCGTCGATGATGTCATTCCCAACTATAAACCGCCGCCAAGTGCAAGACACTCAACCACCGCGACTTATACCACTTTATAATTGCCCTTTTATCGTTAATATATGGACCGTGACAATCCGATTAACAGATCAAACTATTAAATACGTATCTTTGCTTCGATAATCAATTTCTATTTCTACGATTTCTATCTCCATAACTACCGTAGCACTAAAGATCATCCGAGTCGTGTAACTTGGTAAAATACTCGTTACCGAGCAAACGATGAAATTGATTAGAGATCGTTTAGAACCTTTCGAGTAATCGGTATTGAGTTAGAATCCACGGTCTTTGGAATAAAATTCAATTGGAATCAAGGTTCAGACTGTAAGTAGCCAACAAATAGTCGTTCCCGTAATCGAATCGGTAATACGACTTCTATAAACACGGAATTCGAATGAACATCGAAGTGAAGGGAAGTTTGTTCCGCCGTCGGATCGAACGTCGTCCGCGACATCAATCATCCTGGACCGAACGTTCAAGACTTTCACCGTTCGTTACGACGTGGTCGTCGTCCTCCTCCTCCTCCTCCTCCTCCTCCTCCTCCTTGTCCTCGGCGTACAATTGCCGCGCTCAACAAGTAGTAGCCGTAATATGTATTATTTCATATGGAATCTCGTCGGTTCTTTTCTTTATAATTTCGCGTTATATCAATTCGTCGACGTTTACTGATCAATCGAATACACGATTGGAAAATCTATCGAATGCGGAGAATCTAGGAAATGAATCGATTCGTGAGAAGCGAACTCGTCAAACCTACTCGGAAGCTATCGAAAGTTCTCGCTTTCTACAAATATTTAAAGTTCCAGCATGTTGGTATATATACTCGTAAAGAGGAGAAACGATTGCCGGCAAGTCCTACCGACCCAACAACGGCGCATTTCTCAGGGCCAACTTTATTGAGGAAGTTCCGAGGGTGTGGCGGGAAGAAGTATTGAATTCATCGGTACGCATTGTCGACAAGATATACGAAGCTGGGGGTTATGGGTTAAGTGGAGCCCGTACCGTCAGCGAGAGAACGCACGCTCGTGATCGTCCAAGCTCGTTTCGCGCGTATCGGTGTGCACCGCCGCACGAGCTTACGGAGCTCGCGCGATTTATAATCGTACTTTCCTACTTAAACGGGTATAGAACGAAGAAGAACAAAGGAACGGCCTACTTTACGATCCCAACCCTCCGCAGAATAAAAAATCTCATCCTCTATACCTCGAAAATGAAGCGGAAGATAATCGAATAATCGGTCGGATAATTGTCCGATCTTCCTCGTGATCGTCATTCGAACGAAATCGATGGGTGACATCATCGAGAGTAATCGTAGGAACGAAATCACGACTTCGTCGAAAGAAATTTGAATAATTACATGGAATCGTATCGTGGTGTAACGAATCGACTTGTGGGACGAGCCCGTGGTGTTTCATTAAGAAAGTCATTTTTCACGATGCAACGTCGAAGCGCGTAGGGTGTTTTATTGGCAGAAAAGGATCGATTAAAAACATAAGAAAGAGAGAGAGAGAGAGAGCGAGAGAGGGGGAGGGAGGGAGAGAAAGAGAGAGAAAAGTCGGACGGGCATTATATATCACGCAGGGTTCATTCATTAACGCTATTGACTTTCGGACAAAGAGGACGAGCTCGCGCGGTGCCGTGTAACAGTGCAGGGAGAAACGGTAAGAAACAGCGAGGCTCGTGCGTGGACATTGTACGTACGTACATACGAGCCAAAACACAAAGCGCCGGTATCCCCTGACCCCTGACCCAGCCTCTAATGAGCGGCAAAGCACGGCTATTGTGAGAACACCTCCTTTTCTTTTCTTCAGCCGGATCCTCTAGCATTTTCTCGACGCGGTTCATACCCTTTCGCGAGAAACAGGCTAGCTCGCGCTCGATTAATAATCGAAAAAGGGATATGTTTGGTATATCTAGAAAGACATTGCGTAGGACGTTTTACAAGTAGCCTGTGTTATTCATATTCGACGAAAACACGAAGATCTCTTATTCGACTTTAAGAGCGAAATTATTGATCGGCTCGGCCGATCGATGAATATTAATAAGTACCGATGACGGACGGTGCGAGCGACGTGCGTCGGTTACGCCCGCGTTCGTCGTCGTCGAGAATAGTTTATTTCTCATGAGAGAGACAAAGCGAGAGCTTTCGATCCCAACTCGATCGATTTCGGTACCCTGTAATCTGGCAGGTTCGCCGACGCGCCGAAAAATGCTAAATAATCCCACGATACTTTTGACATTTCGGCGATCGAGCGATCTTATCGTAGCGTGGGCGATATATCCTCGCATTGGCGCCTTGAACGATCAGAGTCTCTTCGAGATTAGACGAGGGTAAATAAAATTTCATGAAATTCAAGAGATCAAAAGAGAATATAAGGACCGACAAAGAGCTATTATCGCTTCTCGGCGTACGCGCCGCACGCACGTCGAAATCGTTTGACGAAAATTCGCCGATCGAGCGTATCGACGAGAGAGGAGGGACGGATCAGCAGGAAGATCCCGAGTCCGGGCGGCGATTCCTCGAAAACGAGGGGTCCTTAAAAAAAGGGCCGCGAGAGAGGGTCGGGAGGGAGGAAGGGAGGAAGGGCGAAGCTCGCCGTCGCCGTTCTTGTCGGTCGCGGAGACGGCGGCAAAGGGGAACACCCAGTACATGCCAACGACATTCCCGAAGTGCAGCGCGCAGTTTTTCGCGGCTACCGAGCGCGCAAGGCAATGCAAGGCGATGCAAGGCAAGGCAGCAGAACTTGGCCGCGAGGAGGTAGAGAGGTGGAGGACGAGGAGGTAGAGCGGGGAAAGAGAGGGCCTGACGAGAGAGAGTGACTCAGAGAACCGCTTCTGGGCCAGACGCAAGGGCGTACACGCGCCTCTTCCCCGCGTACACCTCCTTGAATTTCACGAGCGCCAACCTCGGGATACGCCTGTGCGAGCGGATCGAAGATCGGAAGATCGCGAGAGAGAAGAAAAAGGTGCAGCTCGAGAGAGAGAAGAGCGCGAGATTTATTTGCCCGAATTTCGACGGGCGGTCGATGCGCCATGCCCGCTTCCGAGGAATGCATTTCGCATTCGGTATCTTCCACGGAATATGTCCTTCGAGAGGGATCCTGTCTCTCTTATTTCTCTCTCTCTCTCTCTCTCTCTCTCCCCCCCCCCCCCAACCCTCCTTTCTTTCTCCTTCTTTTTCTCTTCAATCGCCCTAGCCCCACCTTCTCTGCAAAACCGGCTGGAAAGATTTGTTATTGTTTTCGTATAGCTCCTGAACCTTTTTATGCAACCTTTCTTCCTCTCTCTCTCTCTCTCTCCCTCCCTCCCTCCCTCCCTCCCTCCCCCCGCCCTCCTCATCACCTACCCGCTCATCCTTCTTCGTCCATTCGTTGACCCGAAAAAGAGCCGAAAAAGAAGCAAAAAGGATCTTTGGAAAATGTCAAGAAAAAACGATCCAGCTAACGATCCGAGTTAAAGGACGTCGATTGACGATAAGAAAGAGCGTGTGAGTCCTCAGAGTGTGACGAAACGAAGATGCGAGAGCTCGTACGAGCCGAGATAATTACGCAAAAGTAGGATGAAGGGGAAGAAGAGAATCCTCTTCTAGAGTCTGACGATATCTCGGATCTACGATCGGGCCGCGAATCATCGGGTGATGTATAGACCTCACCGTGGACTCTCGAATCGGCGCTATTAGGCCATTGGCGTCCTCCGAGAGTTTTTGTGCCTTAACCAGGAGATCAACGCGCGCGCGCGCGCCCGCGCGCGTCCTGTAAACGACGATGTACCCCAGGTTTAACTAATGTGTCCGACCGGTTAGGCGCGTATTGATCGACCAGACTAGATTTATGTCAGCGAATGATTCACGGCGTGATTTACAGCGGATTGTCCGACGCTTGCATACTGATTGGACCGTTTATTCCGTTTCTCCTTTCTACGCCACGTAGGAACCCACTAATCATTTATTGGGTTAAGGTGAAATCCTTCCCTTCTTCTCCTTCCTTCTATTCATTTGGTCTCGCTCTCGAAGCCACTTCCCCTCTCTAGCACTTTTTCTTTTTGTAATGGATCGAAAAGGCATCCGCGCTTTTGGACCTCGCGACGAACTTTGACTCATGAATCATGCAAATCGTCTAGATACGTGAACCGCCTGCTCGTAAATCGAAGTTTAAGGAGGACAAAATAGTGAGAGACTTTTATCGATACTCGAACTCGAAGTACGAGTTAGAGTTATCGCGAATGCATCGTGTTTTCTGACGATTCCGAGCTCGCGGCTATCCGAAAGTCCCGCGGGAGCCCCCGCATCTTCCTCCTTCTTTCTCTACCTTTTGGGTCGATCTCGTCGTTCGATTCTCGATCACGAAGGCAGGGCACGCGTGTCGGCCGCCCGTAGAATGTCGTCGTAACGACGTGTCTCCCTCCGCCACCCGCCCCCCCTCTCCATCACCGCTCCTCACTCATCCTCCAGATCCTCCTCTTACTCCACGGGTACCAACGTTAGCAGAGTCGTCCCCTTGGTCGGACGGAGCCCCTTGTCTCTTTTGCTTCTGCTATGTCCAGAGGTGATCCCTCCACCACGACCGGGGGTAGGAACGAACGTTTAAATTAGGCAGGGAATCCCGTGGAATGCGCGAAAGAACTCCCTGCTCGGCATTCCGCGAGGTTTTGATACGCCCTCGGGGCTATTGGTCGACGGGGGACCATTAGCCCTTATGCGGTGGGAATGACTCTCCAGGTCCTTACCGGTCAATCCTCGTTTACGGAGATCCTCCCTTCGAAGAGTCCTCTTCCCCGTTGCTTTCCTTCCTTCACCTGCTCGCTTTTTCACCCAATCGTCTAATCAAATTTTTCACCGTCGCTCGTCTTTCTCCGTTTTCAGAGTCTGGCCACAGGTTGGACAGCGGCTCCCCATTTTGGAGGATACAGCTCGATCAGGACCTTTTGGATACCATAAGTGCGATTTATCCTGAGTGGTTTAAGGTAAGTACCCCTTTCCTCTGCTACGTCTTCCTCTCTTTCCTTTTTTTTTCTTCTTCCCTTTTCTTTCGCAAAGCTGAAAAGCCGAAAGCATAACGAGAAAAAGTTCTTCTCCCGTAGGATTATACTAACGGCCGAGCCTCTACGTCCTCGTCGACCAGTACTTCCGGCCCTCGGTCGAACAACGGTAGCAACGTGGCGGCGGACTCCAGCGGTGTCCTCGAGAACAAGGTCGCCAAGGGCGATTCCAAATTGAAAGCAAAGTCGAAAAGGGCTGAAAATTTCAAGGAGAAGGATCGAGAGAGAAAGGACGCTAGGCGCGACAACAAGGACGAAAGGTAAATATATTTCTTTATTCTTTTCTTATTTTTCCACCATTTTTCTCGGTGGACATTGGATCCTTCTCGAATAGAGTCCATCGATACGACGCGCGAACATAAGCGTTCCTAACGACCGACTTCCTCTTGAAAGCTCGAACGATTTGAAAGTTTGCAGGTCACTTTCTTACGATCCAGCTGCGCGTAATTTTCTTTGAACTTTAGCAAGATCGGCCGATAAGCGTCGGGCTCTCTCCTTCCCTCGTGAATAACCGATCGATCCATCAACGATGTTGGACAAGCTAATACGTATGTACGCAGAGATAACTACGTCGTTTGAAAGTATCGCTCCGTCGATAAGTTCATGTTATAAAATTGGTACTTTTCGAGTGTCGATTGATCCATCATTCGTCGATCGAGAAGATACAAAAAGCACGAAGGCTCTTCTTTCCTCGAGAAGGAAGGATCCAAGATCGAGGCGACACTTTGTTTTGCCGGCGTTCCTGCGTGCGGCGTTCATCCTTCCTTCCTTCCTTCCTTCCTTCCTTCCTTCCTTCCTTCCTTCCTTCCTTCCTTCCTTCCTTCCTTCTTTCTTTCTTTCTTTCTTTCCCTCCTTTCTTCGGTCTCTTCCCCAAAGCGACGTATGAAAGATTAATTCGCAAAACTCGGCCCTTTCGGTCCGATCCCCTTGGATCCGCAGAGACGCTGGGAACGGTAAGAAAAGTACGACGAAGGCTTCGCCGCAGCAGGATAAAACGACGGTGGACGTGGCAGGAAGGAAGACGGCGGGTGTTCCAATATCAGGAGCAGAGATGGCCGAAGGCAATCAGTCGCCGCCGAAGGCGGAGGTCGACGACTCGCCCCTTCAGCATGCCATGGATCGCAACAAGGAGTGTGAGTACGCTTTTGCCTTACCTTTTCACTCGGTTATCTTTTTTCGATCGGACGAGAAGATCTTTATTATTTATTACAATGCGTTATTTTATTATACGTTGAATTCAGCTCGATGTTCAACGGTCAAGGCTGCAAAGGCAGTCCGTTGCGCTGTTGTCGCGTTGTTGATCGGTAAGATGAGTGGTAAAGCAGTAACGCGTACGTTATTCCATTCGCAGCTCGATCGACCGTATCCACGTTCAGCGTGTCGGGAAGGAGGAAGTCTCGTCCCTCCGTTCGGAATAAGCGATGAAAAGGTCTAACGGTCCTCTCAGAACGACGACGAACGTTTCCGATCGATCGATCGATCGATCGATCGTTCCGAGAGGGAGACTTTTATTATGCAAACCGTTCGTGTTTTACGCGCTCTCGTCAACGAACGATGCACCACCACCATCATCCTTGCAGAGTTGTACTTTTGTTGTACGCGCTCGTGCAAAGGCGCCTATAATAATCGATGGAGGAGGGCCCGCCTATCTTCCTCCCTCCACCACCACCCCCCCACCCACCTCTCGCCCACCCCACACTCGTTTTTAACGTTCACTGGGGCCTTGCCCCATTATGCTCACGGCAACTGTAATCATCCGCTCGTTATTCGCCCTAACACCGATCCCCCAAGAGTGATGCTCTCGATTATCGATTCGGAATCCGACCATTTTTTATCCAATAAAAACGGCCAAGGGGCCTTTTTATCACCGCGTAAAATGCACCTCTTCTATTTCATTTGCCGCTTCCGCCGCCGGATACCGATACCCGGATTATCCCTTATTCTTTCCCCTCTTGGAGAGTGTACAAGTTTTTTTGTTTTCTTTTCTTTTTCTTCTCTTTTTTTTTCTTTTTTTCATCGACCGTGCGAACCTTTTCACTTATCCAATAGTTATCCAATAAAAGTACGATCGAAATGAACTATTGTCAGAAGAGAGAAAGAGAGAGAGAGTAAGAGAGAGAAAGTAATATGAAGAAACAAAGAAGGTTACTCCTCGCTATTCTCCGCTTCATCGTCGATGAGCGGGCGAAGAAGCGAGAGGAGAAGAGCAGTACGAGCGAGCTTTTATCCGGCAGCGAATTCCGTTGCGTACGTACCTATATCGATTCACCGAGTCCGCGGTCGAGTCCGAAGCCGAGTCGAGTTCTCCTCATTAAATCCGCGGACCACCGTTCGCAGTCTTTAGAACGTCATTTTGTCGCGTTTATCGACCGCCTTTTTCTGCAATTACTTTTTGTGATCTCGGGATCCGGAGGAGACTCTCCTACCTGCCGCGAGTATCTTGGATCGTATTTGCTCGTACCGCTTACGACACTTGTGTACCTATCGTCGTAGTACGTGTACGTCGTACGTAGGTTGCGTGTACCACCAGTGACGCGCCGGCACTCATTCCCATTATTACATTGATTTCGACGAGCAAGAGTCTCTTTAAGCGGACGATCTTTGCCAAGTTAAATATATATACGCACACACATGTATAAATTTTTGTTTACATCCATTATATATTCTTATTGCGGAATAGGTAGAGGACGCTCAAAGTTCGATTTTCTATCGCGGAACGGGAACAGACTCGTTTAGCGCGCGCGAAAAGTCCGAAGAAGAGGAAGAAGGTGGTGGGGATAGACGAGTTCCGTTCGCTCTAAATCCTGGACGCCAGTGTTCGAGGACAAGTTACTCATATACGCGCACCCGAGGTAGTACCTTTGACGAGAGCACCTGCGCGTTTGTGTGCGTGGCGCGAGCACACTGTATCTAGCACGTTCTGCAAAAGAAAGAGCACGTGTAAGGTGCGCTCGGCCGCAAACTATAAGCGGAGAAATATAGGTATATAGACGGGAAAGAGAGACAGAAGGCGTGCCTATTTATAACGATGATATCATCGTCGATTACCTACGCTTTCGCGTGGACAATCGTAAATTCCGTAGCTCGCAGAAAGGGTGCGAGAAACTTATTCGATATCGAACCTCCCTGATATTTCTTTATCTCTTTTTCTTTTTCTTTTTTCACGAGTCAAAGACTCGAGGAGTGTAGGCACACGAGTTTTCGATAAAATCGAACTCCCGTCCTCTCTCTCTCTCTCTCTCTCTGCCTTTCATTTTCTCTCGATAGATCCGGTAAAGTAAAATTTCTTCTTTTTCCTCGAGGATTCCTAGGAGTCGACCGAGAGTACAGACCAAGAAAGACGGTAGGAAGTTTGTCGAAGCGGACGACACGATATCGGTCCACGTCAAACTTTCACCTTTAAAGTATCGCGCGTACCTTTCCAACCAAGTCTTTTCTCGGTCGAGTAATTCGCTCCTTCGGACATCGACGCGCGCTTTTGCCTGTCGAACGATGAAAATAAGAAATAAAGAAAGATGTTGCAATTTAAAGAGAAAAGAGAGAGAGAGAGAGAGAGAGAGGAAGAGAAAAAAGAAATAAGATGGACGTTTAATCGCAGCCGAAATATTATCATTACGAGGCGAGGACGATCTCTCGCCTTATCGCCTTAGGTCGTATTTCCTAAGGAGAAAATGATGTCGGAATCTCGCGTTATAACGGAGGGACCTCCTTTTGGTGCTATAAAGACGATAACCTCGAACGTATCTCGTATCGGGTCGCGTTTAACGAGACGTCGTCATTAATGAAACGTCCCACGCGACACGCTCGTTTTCCATAACAAACCACGAAAGGCAACGACGCAAACGGAAGATGGGCCTTCTCCGAGCACACGCGAGGAAGTATTCTCGACTCGCGTGGAAACGAATTTCGTAATGACCAACTAATTGGTGGACGCGATAAAACGTTCGAGATTTCGAGAGACACCGGCAATTAAGAAGAACCACGTCGTTTTCCGCCGTGGCTCCTTCCCGTTCTTACTTCGTAGATTCGATGTTCGATTCTTTATCCCTACGATCTAAAGAGTCAAGAGTCAATTCTACCTTCGTGCCGTTATACTCGCGTCGGCCAAGGTCTAGCGCGAAGACGTTGTTGTTTAATCATCGCAAGTTCCTCGGCACGTATCTCTAACGCGACGCGATAAGAGCTCTTTCGAAGAAACGGAAGAAACTCGATCTGGCGTTTTCTTCCAATTCGTTGGGAAGATGATCGCGGAGAATAACCGCGGTCTCTCTCTCTCGCGCGCGCGCAACTCCTAATTATACGGCGCGCGTAATGTAGCAGGGCTCGCTTTGAAAAATCGACCGATCTCCAATAATTATACGGCATTTCGCGCCGAGACGAAAAGCGCTTTTTCTTCGTCCTTCCCTTCCCTCCTAGTTTCATTAACTTTTGATCGAATTTCCCGAAAACGTTTAACGCCATTACAAGATTCGCGGTAAATCCATGAGCACGTGCGAATATCGTAAGATCGATTCTGCCCGATATACGATGTGTCGTTAAGGACGACAAAATAATCTTTCTTAGTCGCACGCACCATCATTTCCACATTGAGTATGTTATGTCAATCGTACGCGGTGATCGCGAGGGATCGATTTCTGCGTCACGCTTATAAATAAATCCTGCGTTATCGTTGCATATTCATACGCATCGACGTGCTTCGTGTTCCTGTGGGCGAACCGGCTCGAGATATGTCGAATCGAAGTGGCCGCGCTCTCTCGTGTTCGGAAAGTATAGCATTCAAATTTGCGCGCATGCCGGTCCTCGTCGTCGTCGTCGTCGTCGTCGTCGTCGTCGTCGTCGTCGTCGTCGTCGTCGTCGTCGTCGACTCTGCGTTCGCGTGTTCACGAACAAAAATCCGTGCGCGGCGTGCGTGCAGGCGCAAAAAAAAAAGAGGCACACGTTCGGCGGCGGCGGCGGCGGCGCAGACTACCCACGCACGCAACATGCTGTTTTATAGTGCCTCTCCAATCGCTCGCTCCTTCGTTCGAGACGTGCCACGTGCCCTCCAAACGCAATCTCGACGATCGTTTCCTTCGCGACGGCTTTCCCTCGCGACTACACTTTCCTTTCTTTTCTTCCTTTTACTCCTTTTATTTTTGATCGCTTCGAAGGACCGCGAGAGACTTTCTTTCGTCCGCTTCAACGTAGCGTGCGAAACTTGATTTATCTCTTGGCGAACAGAACGCCGTGGATGTCTCATTAGTGGGACATCGAATCGACTGAGATTATCGATATATTCTACCGTCTACGTCTTTATGTAATACCAAGATTTATGGAATATGAATTTCGCTTCAATATTCGCCAAAGAACAAGAACGATAATAATAAGAGAGAAGGAAGGATAAATAATAGAGATTTCGTTAGGTAGAGTCGCTAAAAGAAAAGGAAAAGCAAAGGTTCGTTCGAACAAGGAGGAGGAATGCGTGCATCGAAAGGAGGCGGCGAATTGAAATTCAACGACGTCGGCGACGGAAAACATCGACGGAGAGGAAGGAAGTGACGTTAGTTGGTATTCAAGGCTGACCGATCGATCGAAAGCGAGGCGAGAGAGGAGAGGTGGTGAAGAGTTCGGCGCTAAAGAAGAAGAGAAAGAAAGAGAGGGATCTTTGAGAGCCAAAGAACTCCGATGACCGAGTCCGCTGTTATAACGTTAGCGACTACCTTAGCATCGTTTCTTGCGCGACGCCCACGCGTAGCGAATTAAACGGGACATCCTCTCTTCCTTCCGCGAGCGTTCGTGCTCGGAAACTCCTAATTCGTGTCTTTGCTACGATCGACGACTCGACTTCGATGCAGCTCCTTCGCTACTATCTTCTAAGCAATCACATTCTTTCGATAACAAATTAATAATAAATAAATAAACGAATTTCGTGAGAGATCGACGACGACGACGACGACGACGACGACGACGACGACGACGACGACGACGACGACGACGACGAGCTAACCTAGGACAGTTCTGTAGCCCACGCGCCATTGTGATCGGTGCGAATCGATCGGCGGCCACCTGGTGAACGCCGTATCTCTTTTCTCCTTCGACGAGTGACGCGCGTGCAAAACCACGGTCGCGAGAAAAATTTCATTCTCGAACGCGG